CCATGTGCTGTAAGTGGTGGTTTCATTCGTTTTTAATGGGCAGTTGAATCGTGGTTTCAAGGCTGGAGCACACCATTCACTTTGCCCGAAACATCTTTGCGGACACGCTCGCGACCCCACGGTTTGTCGCAGCAGCGAAGGATCACCACAAGCTGTGCGTCGAGGCGCAAGTGGGAACACTCGAGCTCGATCTCGAGGTTGGAACGCAGGCCCATGAGGCCGTCAAACAAGCCATGACTTTCCACTCCAGCGTGAAGGCGATGCCAGCAGCCAAGCTCACCAAACTCGTGCAACAACGTTCGGTTGCTGAGCCTCGGGATGGCAAATGCGACGCCATTCTGTTCATCTCCATCCCCAGCGTCTCCTTGAAGCTCACCGACGCTATCATTCAACATATGGGACCCTCCTCCTCCTCGTCGAAAACAGGCATCCTTGATGATCTGTTTTATGGCAATTCTCCACCGGCGGCAGCCACTTCTCTTGCTTCCTTCAAGGGCCACCTTATTCTCCCTCACGCCACGGTAGAGCACAAGAAGCGTGACCAGACCACCGGAAAGGCCCTCAACCAGGGCCGCATGTATCTCATCTCCCTCGTCTCGTTTTACTCTGCCCTTGGCATCCAAGACTTGCCTTTCTACTGTTTGGTGACTTCAGGTACGCTAGGCGCCATCCTCATGGGCTGGCAGTCATCCACCCAAAAGGTCAAGGCTTTTTTCTACTTTTGCGTTTGGATCATGCTGAGATCTCACAGCAATTGTATCTGGTGGAACGAAACGTGCGGACATTTGATCTTTCGTCGCCAAGACAGGCGTTCTACTTTGCCGCCTTCCTCTTGCGGCTTCGGGAAGACCAAGCCAAGTTGATGCAGCGCGTGCGCGAAAAGCTCTCTGGCAACATAGATCTGGACGCAGTGCGCAAGTGGAATAAATCAGCGCAAATCGAGGAGGAGTGAAGGACGCGAGCTTTTTTATGATATTTTTTCTGTAACGTGATCGTATGCGCTGCAAGTGCTCTCTGCGGTGGCGTTGAACGTTCGTTTTTGTGCCGCCACAAATTCCATGATCTCCCACTGTTCGTTTTCTGTGTTTGAAACATGACCTTGTCCACCTCTTCTCGGCTGGCTGTTGTGCTCGAATGCCATCTCGGGTCGTAGTCACAGGCAGATTTGTTCACCTCGCATTTAAAGCCACCAAAGTAGAGGCAAGCGAACCACTTTCTTTACAGAAAGGTCATGGCAAATCTCGTTTCCACAGCATGAACCTATTCCCATCTCGACAGAGTCCCTTGTTATTTCGTGCACCGCATGCAGCATGCATGGCGCGTGGCCCATTTTCTTCGTAGCCATTCAATCTAGTAGCACAAAAAGAAGCGGTTGGGGTATGACCCAGCCCCGAATCGAACAGGGTTACCTCGGATGATTCACAATTTTCTTAGGTTTACCGAGTGCGGGCCATCCGCCACTGAGTTGGTGTTGGAATGCATGGTAACCAGCATTTTACCTAGAGCTGGTAAGACCCGGTGGTGTATGGGTAACACACCTCGCTTCAATTAGTTTTCTGGTAATGCCTATCTCCGCGGGAGTAGCCCGTTCGATTCGGGCCCGGGTCGTTAGAACCATGTGCAGGTTTTTTAAAATTTTTTATTTCCGGTGCGTGCGACGTTTGAAAGATTTCGAGCTCAATGCATTGCTGTAGCACAAAAAAAAATAACGAATTGAATTCCATAGAACGGGGTACCCTCGGATGAACGAACATCCTACGAGTGTTTTTCCAGTGTTGCAACAAGACTTTGAAACATGACCTTGTCCACCTCTCCTCGGCTGGCTGTTGCGCTCGAATGCCATCTCGGGTCATAGTCGCAGGCAGAATTGCTCACCTCGCGTAGAGTAGACGAAGTAGAGGCCTTTCTTTACACTGAAAGGTCATCGGTGGCAAATCTCGGAACCTATTCCTTTGTAGGTGAGCAGCGCTTCCAATCAAAGGAGCGCTATCCGACGACATCTCCACAGAGTCCCTTGTTGTTTTGTGCACCGCATGCAGCATGCATGGCGCGTGGCCCATTTTCTTCGTATCTAGTAGCCCAAAAAGAAGCGGCTGGGGTATGACCCAGCCCCGGAGTTACCTCGGATGATCGTTCACAATTTTCTTAGGTTTACCGAGTGCGGGCCATCCGCCACTGAGTGCATGGTAACCAGCATTTTACCGGTGGTGTATGGGTAACACACCCCGCTTCCATTTGTAATGCCTATCTCCAGTAGCTCGTTAGAACCATGTGCAGTTTTTTTTTTAATTCCCGTCAAAAGATGACATGGTGGAAGCCATTCGGGGCGCACACCAAGTAATGGCTCCATGGTGACTGGAAAGTTCTGGATTGCTCTCGGAAGTGAGATTCGAGTTTAAGACAGGAAGTAGAATCGATTTGTCACCCACTGTCACAAAATCGCCCTTTTGATTTTGGAGTTGGATTCGGGCTAAAATCGTGTCGAGGGATGGCCCGGTGGTGTAATGGTATCACGCCTGCCTGATTTGAGCACTTTCATCACGAGTCAGCGGGAGTTCCCGGTTCGAGTCTGGGTCAGGTCAATCTCGGCTAAGCACTCTTCTTTTTTTTTTACGGTGGCTTTGCTCGGGATTCGTCTATTCGTTCAGAGCGACGTGAAGTCAAGTGCCCGGATTCCTACACCAAGTCTTTTTGGAACACCAATGAGTGTATTCAAGAGCGCTCGAGCTGACAATGAGTTGACAGAAGGCATGAGTCGACATGTGATGCCTCTGGCACAGTGAGCGTCTCCGTCCACAACTCTTTCTGAGAGCTAGTCCACACCTACAGTGGAAACGTTGCAAGCGTACCATGTAATTATGTAAGCCTAGATCTAGGGGGATGAACGTAGTGGCACTGCCTGGGAATTAGTCGGAAGCGGCTGTAACTTGGTTTGGGGGTCCATGGGGTGTCAATGAGCCCCCATGCAAAGCCCCATGTCGGTGCAGGCCGGTGCACCTATCCAGCACAGAGTTGAAATGGAGGCACCCGTTCGTCCCCAACCTCAGTTTTACTGGGATGCTTTCTTGATCTGCTTTCCAACACGTTTGCACGGGGATCCTAGCAGTTGCATTCGTGTCAAAGTTCCTGCCCAAAGGACGCGTTGGGCTAACTGGAGAGCCTCCCCTCCAGAATCTTGTAAGCTGAGATCTGTCTGGAAATTGAGATCCAGGGCAAGAACAAAAGATCAAAAAAACCACTCAATTTGGCGGCAATCCCGCTTGGACATTTTCTTTATGGCCTGGCCCCGAATCGAACGGGGAACCTCCCATGGACACTCCACATTTTCGCAGAAAGTGTAGTGGGTGCGATCCTTACGCCACCAGGCCGCACCTATTTCCCTGACATGTATCCCTAGCGAGTGGTGGAGCCTTACGGATGCAAGTCGATTGCGGGACATGTCGTCACGTGGTGAGCGTACCCTTTTTCGGCAATAGTACGCAGAGAAGAATGTTTCCTCAATCGAAAAACAAGCCCCCCGTTCGAACAACAGAAGGAAACGAGCGTTATTCGCAGACCTATGTGCAAAACCGATTCATTTGGAGGCTGCTTCGAACGAGGACAGCATCGCGAGAATCTTTACTGCACTCGTTGCCTCTGCGGTCGACGGCATCAGTCGACGGACGGTTTCTGAAATAATTGATCACGGGAAGACCTCCATTGAGTCGCAATTCCTGCCTCAGATACCTAGTCGAGTGTAGACCTGCCATTCTTTTTTGTTGAGAGGATATGCCCTTTCAGTTTGCGTTTGTAAGCTGCCAATGAAGCAGCCACTCTACAGTGTGTGTGTGTGAGACATGCATGCATGGCCTGGTAGTGTAATGGGTAACACGCCTACTCTGATTTTCGGCCTTGTGTAACACATCATCAGAGGGAGTCCCCTGTTCGATTCGGGGCCAGGTCACTAGTTGATGTTTTCTATTTCTTTCCTTTTTCCTTTGGTCCACGCAATCCTTGTCAGCAAGCAGGAAGATCCGGCTGAGCGTCCGCACCACTTGAGAGAATGTAACACGGCAGCACCGGTGTTTCCAAAGAAGGATGATTTCGTTTTTCTCATCATACCTGGCGACCTTCCATAAGCATCGAATATCCTCTCAGCTTACTTGGGAGTGCCAGCGATGGCATTAATCCAGCGTTCCCACAAGAATAGAACGAGAGATTTAACTTTGACAAGCCGTGCCATTGCGCGCCTATCACAAGGATGTTATCTCGAGAATGCCGCTGACCGTATATGTTTTGGGCATTAGGTACCCTAATGGTGGCTGTCCGCATCGCTTTCGTTTCCTTTTTGGGCCTGATCCCCTAAACGTCCCACCTCGCACGAAAATCACCTGCTATGTTGCGTGCATTGCACAGGATTTGCGTTGCCGATTAACAGTCAGTGGACTCGCGTTTCCATTCTATTCCACGCTACCGTAAAATAATGTGCGTGGCGTGCATTTCCTTCGAGTTGACCTTGCTTCGTGCTTGACAAATCGATTCCTGAATCGAACTTCCACGAAGGATAGCTTCATCTGCGCTCGCTGCAATTAGGATTACAGCATGAATAAAAAAAAATCCCGTTTGGGACATTTTCGAGGGATTCCCCATACCTTTCACGGATTTACACGAAACCAGGCTAGGTTCCCTACATGACCGAATTTTGATGCGCACCTTGGGTAGGCAAGGTAATGCCAGCCTTCACGCGCCAACGAAGCAGAACCGTTGTTGTGTCTCCTCTCGCACGATCGTCCGACTTGAACATCAGATTCTTGCACCTCGAAAAGTGACCGTAATACTCTGCGGACACCGCTACTAGGCGGTGTCATTCGATGTCATCGTGTTGCGTTTGTCCTGGATGAATTTGCATAGAGCCAAGACCCGGTGGTGTACTGGAAATGAAATGTTTTTGAAAGCAAGGTTGGACGTTTTGCCAGCAACTCCAAGATGGACTTTTGCCATACTATTCGTTTAGCAGGGAAGACCCGGTGGTGTAGCGGTAACACGCCCGATTCTCATTCCGCGGGAGTCGCCCGTTCGATTCGGGCCTGGGTCATAAGAACTGAACCTGCGAAGCTTTTTTAACTTTTATAGGCTGATTCGAAAAGATCTCATGTCTCTACAAGTAAAAAGCCTTGTGCGCACCCAGCCTCGGCTGGTCGTTGCATCACGATCGTCGAAAAGTTTTGAAACATCGCGCAAACTTCACTGAACCTGAACCCGATATGTTTCCTAATGGTGGCTGTCCGAGGGTTTCAAGTCCGTATTATACACAATGTATCCCTGGAGGGTCGCGAAAGGCCGAGGCCGACGTCGTCTCAGGCGTCTCCTACGCACAACTTGTCCATGAGCAGGTTTTGAAAGGGCGTGCCATATTCGCCATGACCGCTGCAGATACGCTGGGAGCCAAGACCCAGTGGTGTATGGTACACGCCCGCTTGCAATACAAGATCTGCGAACGTTCAGCGGGAGTCGCTCGTTCGATTCGGGCCCGGGTCATCTGATATCAAATAGCTGGTTTTTTGGTTTTGTTTTCCGTAGCTGTTGCGACGCGCTCAGTCGTACCCGGTAGTGTAATGTAACACCATTCAGGCTATCTGCGGGCCATTTCTACTCGATGTGAATTTCGCTGCGCCTGTAGCTAATCGCATTCTATTCCATTATGGAGCCAGGCAATACTGGTCTGTTTTCAAGTCCGTAGCGTTCCGACCCGCGGATTTCTCGGCCACGGGAATTTGTCGGAAGTGGCTTCAACTTGGTTTGGGGCGCGTGTCCAAAACGAATCCTCAATTTCAGTTTCCCTGATTGATGTGGGAACACTTTAGCAGTTGCAGACGGTTTCTTGAGCTCCTTTCCAACACGATTTCACCGGATTCAACCAAAAGGCCCATTGGCATTGACCCATGTGCAGACTTTTTTTCCCTGAGATCCTTTCCAACCGAAACGGCCATTGCAGACGGCTTCTTGAGCTGCTTTCCAACACGATTTCACCGGATTCAACCGAAACGCCCATTGGCATTGACCCATGTGCAGACGTTTTTTCCCTGAGATCCTTTCCAACCGAAACACGACCGATGTGGGAACATTTTAGCCATTGCAGACGGCTTCTTGAGCTGCTTTCCAACACGATTTCACCGGATTCAACCGAAACGCCCATGGGCATTGACCCATGTGCGCCCTTTTTTTCCCTGAGATGCTTTCCAACACCGAAACGCAACACTTTAGCTGTTGCGAGCTGCTTTCCAACACGTTTAAGCGGGATTCAACTGAAACGCCCAGATTCATTGACGTTTTCTTCTAAACAGGTCGACAGCGTGTACAGCAGTAGGCGAGAAGACAAGTATGAGCAACAAAAGAGGATTACGGACTCATGAAAGTGAAATCGTCGATTCCCACCACCATCCCCGTCCTGTCCGTGTGGACCACGAGCCCCTCCTTCACCAGCTTCAGCAGACGCTCCACAGTGAGCTGGACACAAATGCCGTCCCTGTTCTCGATCTCGTCCGGTTGCGATACAAAGAGCGGGACGTATGGCTTCTTCTCCCCACGGCCTCGTTCACAATCGTCTTTGCCCTTCCATTGTTGAATTTCGACCACCGTGTCCCAGGAAGGAAGTTATAGGTGTTGCAGTCATAGACGGCCATCGCCCGCTGGATCACCATCAGGAGCCAGACATGCCAGTTCTTCTTCCCCCATTCCTCCATTCTGGTCGTCATCTTCACCGGGTTCGTCACGAAACTCGAGATCAAGCTCCACGGCGCGTCGTGTGAAGCCACCCATTCACCATGGTCTCGTCCGTCGGCATGAATCCGCCGTAAAGGGCACGCTCCTTCTTGTCCTTCCAGCAGATGACGCGCGGGTGAATATCGAACTGTGCCGCGCGAGCGTCGGAGACGACCTGCAGCTTCTGTAGTCCTTCGAAAGGGTGTACGAATCCAGACATCTGCCCGCGATCTCCGCCTCGCGCACATCGGCCGCAATCAAGGCTTTCGCCCTGCGGCCCGGGTTCTTCCGAGTTGGCATCAAGTGCGGCACTGTGCTGCTGCCGGCCGGGTGGTAATCCTCATCGCCGTCGTCGTAGTCGAGGGTTTTGTAACTGCGCGGCATGGATGAAAGAGAGGCGTCCTATATAATATGTTCTTTTCCAACACGCGGGAGCGCCTCGCGCTGAGTTCAATATATTTTCCGATCCCTCATCGATGCGGCACGATCGATCACTGCAAGCCGACGCGGCACTTCGATCGGCACTCGAGTCGAGGCTGATTGATCGGTGATCTGCATCGCGCGCGCTTTGACCGCCGCGCGCTCGATGATGATGGCGGCGCTTTGCACCGCCGATGAACAGCACGGACAACATCAGGACGTGCACCTCGAGAAAGGCGAATCTTGCAACAAAACGAAAAAAGTACGGATCCGACATTTATATGCCTGGCCCCGAATCGAACGGGAGTACGCACCACCCGAAAGAGGAACGGGTGTGATCCTTACGCCACCAGGCCGCACCTATTTCCCTGACCAGTATCCATATGTATCCCTCCGTGGGTAACACGACCGTGGCGAGTTTCTCTATCAATTCCTCGATCGAACTTCCATCTGATGCTTCTTCATTTTCTGCGGCGCTCATTCCGTTGCATGTTCAAGCGACGGCTGCAATTAGGATTCATCAGCCTTACGGTGGAAGCATGGATCGTATGCCGTCCAAGCCACCACTAGGTTAGGTTAGGTTAGGTTAGGTTAGGTTAGGTTAGGTTAGGTTAGGTTAGGTTAGGTTAGGTTAGGTTAGGTTAGGTTAGGTTAGGTTAGGTTAGGTTAGGTTAGGTTAGGTT